AGGTGGTTACAGGTACGAAGTTGTAATATCACCGCCTCGATAGACTCGAATTAGGATAATGGACGTCCATTGGACGTAACTATATTATCAAGTAAAACTTAAGCCCATACGTAGACATTGAGAGTAGACGGGACCACGCGTTCGTCAAACAATAGATTTCAGTATGTCATCCCCGCTCGAGAGTCGTGCGTGCCCAATTTCAAACCATTAATAATTACATTAATCTAAATTAGATTATGGCAGTGTATGCGTAGTTGACGCAAACGAGGCGCTGAGAGGCAGCGCTTGATTATGGCCATCGAAACGCTTAGATTGATGCTAAAAAGCCATGGAAAAAAAATGGAAGGGCATTAAATTGTTCCCGAAGGGTTGGGACAGATCGACAAAAACCGATGGGGTCGGTTGGACAAAAGCAAAGGACATAGACACCAAAATACATTCTATTTGCTTTTAAAGGACTCTAGATGAAAAACTACATCTCTAAATTACGCCGGGGAAAACGTGGCGAAGCATGATAGATGAATTTGACGCACAATAAGCGCAAGCTATAGTAAACAACGGCAGCCGTATATCGTTCGAAACATGTCGCGAAACGGGAAAAACAACATGAATAATAATCTAATTTGTTCTTGCAAGCATTAGAACGGTCGTTTGATTTGTACGTTTATATGACGTTTGTAGTTTGTTGTTTTTTGCTTTAAACAAAAAACGCGGATTTCCACTGCCTTATCCATGTCTAAGCGCCCCCCTTTTAGGCGTATCTCTCACATATGATACAGTACAAGCGTGATATTACGATCACCAGACCTGGCCGATAAAAAAAACTAATGATCCTGTTTGCGCCAAAGGCTTCGCGCTAAAAGCCTTAGTGAACGACTGAATAATTCTTTCTAGATTTATGGAACGGCTGTAACGGCCTAGGGACAATTAGTAGGGATAAAGGAAATCCAATCCAAATATTTGTCTTCAATCAACTTTCACTGAATTTAATGCCTGAAGATTAGAAAAGAAAAGTCTTCTCTAGCTAATTAGAATTCTCTATAAAATAGTAAATGATTAGTAGTTTCGCTATTATTGCATTATATGGCAAAGCATTTACCCCGATGCTGCGAGAGCCGTGGAGCAGGCATTGTTTGACTGTTCAAGTCAACTCAGATCATCGTTACGGGAAAGTCAGAACAGATCTGCGTGATTTTACAGAACAACAAATGTTACAGATGACTCGAATGAAACATAAATTCTGCACGCAATAAGCGCTCCGTCACTAATTAACATTAGTCCGCTCATGGCAATATAATTACATTGTATCTTAGCGAGAGGTTACGGCGCAGTAGTAGCCTGCTTATGACCACGACAGATGTTACCCAGCCATCAAAAAGAAACCAACTAAAATGTAGAACTATAGTCCAGGCTTTGTATACACTGTGTTAATTGAAACGAACTTCGTGAAGTAACGATACTTTCAATAACGATTCATTAATGACTCGCTCGAAATAATGACGGCTCCGCTGGTACTAGTTCGGGCCTCATCGTGTGCCATACGCCGCAGCTGAACTTTAACTTCCTGCCCCGTTGATATGTTAATAAATATCATATAAACAACAACAACATTTGTTGTGCAATAATATAAACCTATTTCAAATGGCCCGTCTTTTATTATTGAACGGCAAAGTCATTTCGGGGATTTCAAAGCTGACATGGTAAGCGAATAGGAGAAGAGACACCTCTGTCACAGGTTTTCTATAATAGATAAAACAATGGATGGGGTTGATAATAAAACTAGGCTATCAAATCCTTTCTCTGCATAGGAAAAAGACACTAGAAGCTTCGATATTCGTGGTAGTGACTGAGTTTTTACGGAGATAGACACTTCAGTAATTACAGCGATAGTTCACCCAGTCAACTATTATTTCGTTCCTATTAGATATGGGGTAAACTTTTCCGACACATAGGTTTTCTATAAAAAAAAAAATGGCTTCAGATAAATAATGGAAAGATTACGTTACACACGGAACAGTCCTGCTGAAGCATACAAGCTCACCATAAAAGCGGTTCCATTAATAGTTTTGATAACAATAAGAGGTTGATATACATCTCAGAATACCATTCGATCAACGTTATCTGCAACATTATACTATCGAGACGCTCATTCTGTGCAACCGTAACTCTGACTGTCTGTAATCGTTTATGGCTAACTATAATTTAATTATCCTATTCTTCTTTGCTTCTTTAGTACAATATCTCCATATAATATGAGCGTGCGCGTATAGAATCTTTTCCCTTCATCCATCGCATATATCTCACTCATATGTTATCGGAGCGGCGAGACGAGCTGTTGGGAAATTTCTTAGATTTCTATTAGTCGACCTACGGCAATTGACATATTGATAACAGAACATGTATACGAACTGGAATCGTAGTAAAAAGTAAGTTCCCTCTCTTTCTCGTTATATATATATATATATATATATATTAGTAACCGTAAAATACCCATTTAGGTTTTTATTATTATTATTTGCTCAAGGTATCTACATATTGTCAAGAACAACATAGTGGTGATCGCTACCGTCATCATCATTCATGTGATTATGGCTGGTGAAGGACGAAGGTCCAACATCTCTCTGTACAGGAGGTCGACGCAAAGTATTTTTCTTTCGTTGCTTTAGTTACAACTGTTCACGTTCACCATGCCTCCGTTGTGAAGCAGTGTACGAAAAATGACCACATGGATGAAAAAAGTTATACTTTTTAGGTACTACATAGATGTCTTCGCCGCAAGCATTAGCAAACGAACTTTCAGACCGACGAGGCGATTGAAATCGATGTGTCGGCTGGCAAAACTAACAATAAGAACAGCAGAAACAATGACGATAGAGCCTAAAACGTCTAACTTAAGTCTAATTACCCTTATCGCACATACAGGCCCCCCAGCCGTTAGAGCTGCGGTTATAGCTAGCGTAGCCGCGATCGAAAGCGAAGTTGTTTGACGTCATTGTCGAGCCGAAACTCAAAGTCAGCACAGACACTTCAAGCCATCATCCGATAACCTCAATTAATAGTAGTCGTCGTTCGTTAGTCTGCGCGTGTGCGTTTGTATGACCCATTAAACAGCGGGCAAAAGCCATCAACTTCACCAACAGCCTTACCATGGCCACCTGACTTCACGACCATCATCATTACTACACCCCCTGGACCCCATGTCTTCTACCCAAGCTGTTCCCACGAAAGGAAACAGCACTTCAAGCATAAATACGTTCTTTTGTTCTTTGCTATGGTTATTGTTAGGGCCGCTCAGGGTTATTGTAACGGCCATTGTTGTTGTTAGAGGGCCAGTCGCGTAAAATCGGCCCCTTTGTACTGTACTATATAAGTACGCTTCCTTAACGACTGGGCGCGGGTCATATTAACTTCCGTTCCGCGTTTCGTCGATTGTAGTTAGCTGAATCGCTCATTGCAGTTGGACGAACATGGTGTAATCGCACGTAGATAACAAAGTATATAAAGGATATTAACCACAGTACCCCTATCTAATAACAATATATATATATATATAGCATGCATAAAAAACACAATGTCTATTCGTAAAAACACAATATAGTTACAAACTGTTATTCTAATTAACGATGGTTATTAGCTTGTCAGGGTTATCAACACTGGTTTTTCTCAAACTATTCAATCAAGTGTTTCAGCTGCGAGTAATTAAAAAAAAAGCAGAACAATGTCCATAGTTTCCTGCAACAGTCAGGCCTAAGCATGCTCACACAGTACCTGCTACTAATATAGATTCTGGTAGCGGCAGTCGGGTCTTAAGATGAACAGAAACTGCCGGACGAACCCGTCTGTATAGCGTGCATGATGTGTCGGTGCTAGAAAAACAGAATAAATATAGAATTCTCTGTTGTCGTCAGTGTCCCCGTTGAATTTCTTTTGTACAAGGTGGCATAACAGCATGGGGTGAAAATGAAAAATAAATAGCTATGACGTATTCATGGAAACACGGTCACGTGTCGCTTCGTTAGAACACAAATTATATGTATGTACATATACATGTACTTGTCTTGGACAACAAACAGCAAATTGAGAAACGCTGCAAGATCGATATCGACACTAGTGACCACAGAATCAGAGGCCCAGTCGAGTCCTGTGTAGGTTTTGAAAGGCAGACATTGCCTAACGCAAAGACTAATAAAGTTGTAGAAGAAGAGATATTTACCTGGTGCTACCCAGGCCGAATGGCAATTAGGGTCTGCGGGTTATCGTCGCTAATCGACCGACTAATACATAGAGTATTTTCAAGTTAAGCTTAACGATAGTATAAATGTATTGCTAATCAGTGATCAACTATAATGCAGTTGAACAGAGAATATTAACTGTAGACTGGTTTTTGTTTGTTTTATCCAAATAAACAAGTCGAAGTCTCTGGCAACAGGGTAGGCAGCTGTGCATACTGTATTGTGCTATAACTGGAATATATCTTTTGACTAGATACCTGGAAAGTATAAATGTTGGCCTATCCATTTATCTTGTCTATGATATATCTTACAGATGCCCCGAACCTTGGTTATTTTTGTCATCAGACGGCGCTGATGCCGTGGAACTATTTATATACGATGTTCTGGTGAATGACAAAATGTATTTGGACACAATCTGACTACGCTACTGGATGATATTGACGCCTGGTTCTTCAATAGTTTATCGTTCCCCATCGTATCGATGTCCAAAACAAACGAAGTACTCACATGGCTGCCCACCTTTATCACGGCTCTAATATTCTACACTAATAGAAATATCATGTATTCGTCCTTAACTACTCTACACAGTATCCTGAATCCGGGACACTATAGTCCAACTTACGACACATATCGTTTATGTTCATGAATAGTCGATCGAAGCAAAACCTAGCATCGCGATGAAGGTCCCGATTGGGGGCCAGTTCATATTAGCACTATCAATGCACATATATATACGTGTATATATATAAGAAAGAAGTAACCGGAGCATAATTGTACTAGCAAAAAGCGGGGCGTACAGTTTATTTACATAAAATACACTTGTACATAACAATTGTCGGCATCACACGGGGTGCTGTTGTCGCGACAACCGTTCTTTATAGATTTGTTTTTGGGGTGTCTTTTGGCGTCATAACGATTAGTTAACTGGAATTGTTTTTAATATCGATGTATTGGCGATGCAACAGGGGTGTTCGCCGACTTCCAGTTCCTCTTCTCATACCTTCCAACCGAAGTTAAGCGGCAGCCACGAAGCAGCACATTGATGTCATTGCTGCTATGATTGTATAATTAAGAGCGAAGATCGACGCTCGCCTCTAGTAAAGAGTAGATAATGATAGTCCAACGCGATGAGAAACGGGAAGATCTTAATTTTAATGTACACGAAGACGAAACATATCTTTTCTGTTTGGCTCCGACATGGCTCTCTGTACCTCCGAGCTGTTTGTAACGAGCGTATCCCTACAAAAGCAGACGACAACGAAGAACCGACGAACATGTCAATGAAGAGAGAATCGTCTTCTTCTTGCCTGTCAGCGTGAGCCACTCTTGAAGGCTGTCACTACTCGATGTTATCGGTATTTCCTCGCCTTCGAACTTCTTCTCGAGTCGCGCACCAATCATTTTCTGGTTGTTAACTCGCTACGCATCACTTAGTCTTAACATCTTCGCATTTAAATTTTCCGCGTCCTTCTTTCCTGCTGCTGCCGCCACCGCCGCTGTTTTCCTTTCGCTGTCACCGTTTCTTCCCGCACTCGCCTACCATCCGCCGCCGCCGCCGCCGCCTCCGACCTGCCATCCACCGCCTCCACCTCCGCCTCCAGCCTGCCATCCAGCACCTCCGTGGCCTCCGCCTCCGTGGCCTCCGCCTCCCTGCTGAATCTGGGCGGTTCCGGCGACCTTAGCGATGAGCACCTTAGCTTGGCCTCCCGCGCCACCTCCGCCGGACTTCGACAGAATCTGCCCGCCGTTATCGATGGTGCGCACCTGGTGCACCGTCTTAATCACGTGGGTAGGTCCGGCAACGGTGAGGGAACCGCCAGTTTGTCCACCACCGCCGCCTCCCCCACCCTTAATGATTAGGATCTTCTGTTCACCGCCACCGCCATGGCCACCTCCGCCTCCTCCGGCCTGCCAGCTACCTCCGCCTCCACCTCCTCCATACCCTCCACCGCCGCCCCCGGAGAAGCCTCCGTAAACGGCAGCTACGCTAGCCAGAAGAACCATAGACACCAGGGGATTCATGTTGTTGTTGTTCACTGTTGTTTAGCTCCGCTGCAAGAGCTGACTCTTGCCGCTTGCTGACTCTGCTCGTGAACCAGAGGGTTTAAATACGCGCTGGGATCTGATGGTCGCGGCGATGGTGAGCAGCGGGCGCGGGTGGCAGTGGCAATGGAGGGTGGGGGCAATCTGCTCGCGATCGTAACGACACCTTCGTTGGTTGGCGGCTGGTGATGGTCGACGACGCTGGTGCTACTGGTGGCAAGGTGGTAAGCTTGCTGTCCCGTATAGTGTATTGCCGCTGCTGCTGCTGCTGCTGCTGCTGCTGTTGCTGTTGTTGATCGCTGATTGTGTACCAGAGGCGACACATACGGACGGTCATCATGCCGTGGTAGCGGGGGGAGCAGGGGCTGGGAGACCCATTCGCAGTCGTTGGTCGGCGTTGCTGGAGCTAGTGCTTGTGCCTATGCAGGCCGTTGATGATACAACGATTATACAGCTAGAAGCTGTTCGTCTGTGCTAAACAGCAAGAGCATTGTGAAGCTGCTATTTCAGTAAGCGCCGAGGGCACGCCTCTAGCGAAGTCTCCTTGCCGACCACCCTGATGACAATAAAATCAATGGCGAAAACTAAGTAGCATTAATTAGAATCAGTGCTAACTTGATACAGCTGTAATAACGTCGACAACTAACTTGATGACCGCGTCACCCGGCGCAGAGCTTCATCATCAGGGGATCACGCATACCCCCTAACAACAGAGCATGGGAAACTATATCGAGACCTGGCACACATCGTGATGTGTGTGTTTGCGAGCAGGACTAACATAGGACTGTCAAACTGATCATGCAATAGTTCATCATATGAATGCTCCGCTGTTACAGCAAGGCAGCTGACCCCAGTGAAAAAGCTGGACTACGTGCACGCAACGTCAGAGCTCAGTGTAGAATGCAAATGGCAATGGAAGAGACGTAGCTTCTTCAATAGGCGCTACCTAAGGCGACCAAAAACAGCAACCATAATTGTGAAATAAATTTGAACAGCTATATTTTCTATATACCTTTATATTAGTGTGTAATAGCGATTTTCTGATAAATGTCATTTTTTAACATCTGCGAAATTCTTATATATATATATATATTTTTTTTAAGGGTGAATTATATATATATATATATAGTGCCATCAGATTTTACAGAAAACTCTTGGTTGATTTCCTTTTTGACCTCCATCCATGACTGCAGCTATCGAGATCGATGCGGTACTCCGTTCGGATCATAATCACTGACAGGGCTGCAGAAGGCCACTTCTATACCAATCAACTCGACAAAGGTTGAGTATAGTGAATATGATGCACTGATAGATAGATCATTAGATTGGCTTGAACTTTATAGTAAACGCAATTTTTTTTCGGCTGCCTCCTCTCGGTCTTTCCTCTAGACTGTCGCTTAATAAAGGCGCGAACAAGAAAATGAACAGCAAATTTACAATAAAAACAAGGATCTGATGTGCGACAACAGCGGCCTTTGTTCTCTGAATACAAAAACGTTTCTGAGAAGAAAAAAATTAGATTATTTTCACGTTATAAAACCTTGTCTGGTATTTTGCGTGATTTGCTTATTTAACTTCGTAAAAAGAAAGTAGAGTGTAATTTGGTGGAGTTGATTTGAAAACGCATAAAATTTTTGTACACTTGACATCTGCATCGTAAACATGGCAATGCTATGCGATTATACATCTGTATGCAAGCAAAATGTTTATCATTTAAGATTGCTATATACCTTAAAGAATTACTTGACATGATCAGATTTACAAAGCATTGGTCAAGTAGTAAAATATAGAGTAAACTATATCGTAGCATAAAATATAAGTGAATAATACATTCCATTAATAGTTGTTATATAGCATGGCAAATGTATCGGTATAATGATTGCGTCAGGCTGCTGGATGTTTACTGAGTTTGAAACTTTGAAAAAATTCGAATGCTTAAAACTCCAACAGGTTACTATTACCAACCACATTAGATGATAGGCCTACTGACATAACATTTTTGGCCCCCAGGTTATCAAATAACAAAACAGGTAAAGTTGTCTTAAGTTTGAATGAATATAATAGGCCAACCGCTGCTAGTAGTAATGGCCTAAATTATCCAACAAATGAAATTTAAGTTGTCGATCTTGCCTTTAGGTTCTCTTTTTTATCTTTTATTTTGCTATACACCTGTTGGAGCGAGGCCTTGATTGTTGCAAGCTGGGTTTGTGAACTGCTATATGGCGCTCAAGTTTGAAAGATGAGACAATCTATCGAGACTTCACAGAAGTAAAACCTTATCAACAGATGGCCACTATTTGACAGTTAACTTAATGCTGGCAGACCTTTTATCATTCATCTCAAGCAGATAAAGTACGATCGTACAATATACTACTGAATATGATTACTTTCATAATGAGTCACTTGGTTTGGGTAACGACAATGAAATTTTCTTACGCAAATGAGTCTGCTTTATATAATTGTATATCTATTTCCTTTTCTCCTGAAGTTTATCTCAACAAGAAACATATAGTTCGTGTGGAATGTTTCCTCAACAGTAAAGTATATCCCAACATCTACACGGGTCCAGATACCAGATTCGTTATATAATACAGATCGATCAAATTATTTCAATGAATAAAACAAAAATATCTAGTATCTGAACTAGTTTTAGTAAAAGAAAAAAACATTTTAAACTTAATTACACATAGCATTCGATGTTCAACAATGGAACGATTTAAATCGCATAAAATGCGAAATTTTCAAAAACACCACTGGGAAGTGCATTCATCTAAAATACTTTCCCGATTTTGTTACTCTGTTTATTATTAAAAAAAAAAAAACTATTATAGGCGATTAACGTTATACTCATGTAAAAAGTGACCAATCAAATATGTCGACTTAATGATAGCGTAATTCGAAATGGATTGTATATAAAAAAATTGCTCGATTTTCAGTTACATTCCACTTTCACACAATTAACAGCTACGAATCATACTTTTAGTAGTAGAATCTTTACATTAAATAACTGCAGCAATTATTTATTGTTTCGTTTTTCTGTGTCTTAGTTGTTTAATTTATTGTTTAACATTTACCCAATGCACCACTTGTCACTTGAACATTAAATTAATATCTCTATGCGGAGAAGCACAATGGCTTTAAAGCTTTAGTTCAGATGGGTAAATTTCTCTACTGTTACTTCCGCGAAGACAATCTTCCGTTTACTCTATCGACAGTCCTGGTTTATAGCTAGGTGGCAGTATCGTAAAATGAACCAGTCTTTTGGGCTGTCCCGCTTCTTTGTGCTGTCTTCGCCAAACTTAACAATCGTCTATGGAAAATTTGCCACGGTTTATAAAGCTGCTTTGTTCTATGGAAATGTGCCTTTTGGCGTAGAGCCATCGATAAATTTGTAGACAGAAGCTTACCTCGGCGAAGCTGCGCTCATCACTGCAATACTTTATATTTTACGATGATCCCTATGCCTTTTTTTGTGTAAATATCGCACCTTCAGTGTCTCAAAATACGACGAAGTCGCCCACTTCGAAGTACTTCGGAGGACAACAACTCGAAAAAGAGAAGCAGAACTATATAGTATTTTTTGGTTTTTACTGACGTACGTTTTGTATGTCATATCAGCCCGGTGCTATAGGTTACCATAATAGACATGTAGAAAAGCTGTCAGATACGTTATATTTGCCCTGCCTAAATTTAATATGTAATCAGTGTGATTCACTTGGAGATAAAACTGTTCGATAATTTTGCTAGTATATTCCTTTCTAGCGACGAGCGGGTCTAATTTTAATGCTACATACAAATTGCCTTTTATTTGTTGCTGTATGCGAAATAAGCGTATCTATTAATGCTTTAACCATAGCAATTAATGAGACATTTCATATTTATATTCTTTGGAAAGGCATAGAGATCGAACAGCTGTTTTACTACTATGAACAATTAGAATTAATTATAAAGATTTCTTCTTAGTATGCCTCTAGAGCTCTTAGCGTCCTTTTTTTGCCGTTAGGCAGTATGTGCCCAATTGCCCGCACACATTTATGCGGTCATATCATCGATTTAACGTAATGACTAATAGCAGTCCCGAAGAGCAATCAAGCTGACCGGCAAATTTCTGCATCAGGTTGTGATAGATGGTAGGACAAATGCAATTTTTTGGGTTGACAGCATTAATCGTTGTAGAGAACGTCCCTTGAAATGGTACTCACTACTAAGTAGACAGATAAACAGAACAAACGTATAGGTCTTGCAGCCGGCGCTATCTTCGCACCAGCTCCGAACCGAAGATGTTGATCACGTTGATGCAACACTCTTTTGGTACCTTCCTCTAACTCCCCAAGTCTTTTACGTAGAACCTGTATATGGCCACGTTAACCAATCTGCTTTGGTTTGCGTTTATTTTTTTCAGTAACTATTTGTCCACAAAATTAAAATACGTGTCCAGACTTATGTATGACTGACTCTAAACATATCACGTCCCGCGCATACTCACTTAGCGACGTACGGTTCTGCTAGCTATTCCACTGCCGGAACTAGTTCTAGTGGTAAGTTAGCCAAAAGCAACATATGCTATCTGTAAGACGAAATTATTCCGGTTTTTAGGATTATTAGTAATGTGAAGTTTTCACTTTTAGACATTCAATAGTTTCCTATAAACATCTATATTAGATTTTTTTTTGCGAAAAAAGTAAACAGCAAATTACCCTGTAATTTCCGTCTTGCTTGAACTAAATAGCTGCCTTTGTTACGTTCTGCTAATAATTTTATAACCATAATATTAATATAGTTTCATTGTAGTGTTATTTCAGCACAGTTATTGTTCAACACATTGATGCTGGTGTCGCACGTTGTGAATCGTTCGACCGCGATGTTGAAAGCATCATTTATCTTTCCGCGTTCGGTGCTTCCATTTACTTCATGACACTGCCCACAACACGACGGCGGCGGCGACAGGACTTCATACACACACATATAGCACACATTTTCGCCTATTCAACGATTTGGAGTGGGCAGTTAAGCTGCTTATGTGTCATGGGCATACATAC